GATTCTTTACTAAGAAAACCTGGATATGTTAGATCACTCTATAAATGTGCTTCTGAGAGGGGTCATTATAATTCGGAGTTATCATATGTGGAAGCGGATGAAGCATTAGACGTATCATGATGCATCTTGAAACTCAGAGGCGTTTGCATTTAATACCATGCACGTGTCAATACCAGAGTCTTTTTTAGTAAAGAGTTATCGGTGTTCGTACTAGAGGTCAACCTAACTTTCCAACACACAACTTCTTTATAGACTCCGTGCAGTATTTCTATGTATTTCTGAAGATCATTTGCGTTATTCTTTATGTCGTTCCAGGAGAGACAGTGAAGTTCAAAAACGTGTTGGCACAAATGAAGAATTTCAAGGTTACGTGGTGTCAGTATTGGCATGGTTGGTGGATGCATCGCGGTGCTTCTAATCCAGACTATCTGCTATTGTATCATGGGGTAAGGATTATTCAGATTACTTGTATACATGTTGTTCTTCAGCAAAAGCGGCTGTATTCAAAAAGTCAATAGGGTTATACAATTTGATTCGATAAATAAACTTTAACCAATCTGGTGAACAAAAACATAGATCATCAATTTGTAGAAACACCATGTACGTGCATGTATTTATTATATGCGCCGCTTTCGGGCCATTAACCCTGAAATTCATCAGTGCAATAAACTTTTGGACATATTGTAACAGCCCTATACACGTCCTTTGAATGGTTTAACTTTAAAGTTTCAAGATTTAATCATCCTATGCACTATAACTTATATGATTTAAAGATGAGCTTGGTATTTTGATGTTTCTTTCGAGAGCTGTGTTCAGTGTAACAGAATTTCACAATGTTTCATTGCTTTTCATTTGTGGCTTTTTAGAAGCTGCGCTAAATGCGCAAAGAAGCTGCGCATCCGCAGAAAACAAAATGCTGACGTGCCAACTGACGTCGTTATTGACATTGAGAAAGATAACGAGGTAAGTGTTGCTCGTATTCCACAAAAATATGACCATACGAGTAGAGGAAGAAATGGGAAGATATAGCGTTGTTGTTCCCTTTGAAGTGCCGAATTCTAAAATAATTAATTTGAAAATCGCGAGCTGGAGATCTTTTAGAGACAAAACAATGGACAATTTCCGGGTCGGAATACTTTCAAGAACAAACTGAAAGTACTAAAATGATGTAAAATACGGAAAATATATGCTGGTAAAATGCGAAATGTCATACTGAGAGAAAACGTCAATAATTCCGGCTCAAAAGTGCGTACTCTTTTTCTTTAGATCGAACAAGCTTCAGACGAAACAGAGACGACAGTCCTTGAAGCGAAAGAAACTGGCACAGAAGAGGCCAAGGAATAAAGCAGCTTTTGAAGATACAATTTTCAGTTTTTTATATGTTTGCATGTTAGATTTCTACAAGACTTCTACAAGACGTTCATGGCTCATGTTTGGCCGCATCGATAGCAGAGATGGCATTATGTGCGGGGACACAAGAATACAAATCCGTACATTCGAGTAGATATGACTTTCGTACAAGTATACAAAGCGAAAGAATTCGGAATCCTGAGGCCCGATATCATCACCATTTGCAGTCAAATTCTACTTTCCTACCGAAATTAAGATGGACTTCCGTGTGGATTGGAAGCACCTGTGGAGTGCGTGGTTAAAATGTCTCAACCGACTTGATCAACTGACTTCCTCTAAGGTACGTCACAACGGATCTTTGGACGACCAATGATGGTTACTCCACCGTGGGCCCAAACTGAAGCTCTACCAGTAACGAAACATCGCAAGAACGAAATCTGAATTTCAAGACGAAAGTAAAACATGGATTTGATTGCTGCATGCGATGTTTCAAGCGTGTTTGGGCTCGAGAAGCAGTTCGTGTATACGCATCTTCTGTTGTATGATACAAGTTTACTACGCAATTTGTTACAATGACGTGTTACCCGCAAGTGACTTGTGTTTGCCATAGTTTATTGCTCTCGATTAAAATTTAAGAAAATAATAGTATTAAAGGTGAAAATGTGTAAAATTGTATGGTGTCATTGCATGCTATTTGTAATAAACTAGATTTAATTAACAAAGTTGGGTATTTTGTATTTTTTGCGGGCGGCCTTTCTCCCAGCCGAACAGTGCTTGCAAAAAGCCCGTTTTCGGTGTTAATAAAATATTATTTTATTTTCTCGGAAAGATACATGTGGTATTCTATTGTTATTCTTTTTCTATAAAGCAATGGGGAAAAGACCTTCCATGGAGATGTACAAAACGCACGGTGGTACTGGAGCCCTTTCCTTACAATTCTCGCGGTTTGGTGAGAAAAGTCCCTAAAATTTGCCCTGTGGCTTTCTGCCCAGCCGAACAGTGCTTACAAAAAGCCCATTTTCGATGTTAATAAAATATGATTTTATTTTCTCGGAAAGATGCGTGTGGTATTCTATTGTAATTGTTTTTGTATAAAACAATGGTCAAAAGATCTTCCATGGAGATACCGTACAAAACGTACGGTGGGACCGAAGCCCATTGCTTACAGCTCTCTCGCGGTTTGGTGAAAAAAGTCCCTAAAATTTCTCAAAATAGAAAACGAAGCATCAAATATTTACGAGGAACATGCTCTTTAGCTTAGCACACAGCCATACTGTTTAGAACTCGCTAAATTCGCCGCTAAAATTATAAGGCAAAAACCAGTTATCATGCAGCATTAATAAGCAAACAATTTTGAACAACTTGCGCCATTTGAAAGTTTAAACTTCACGTTACTATAGTCCAACAGGAAAAGGTAGCAAGCGGCAAAAAAGAGAAAATAGCTTTTGTAAAACTATAACTGGTCCTTTGTGGGCAGATTCAGTTCTGTGCCTTTTTTTGTGTCTGAGTAAAAAACGAGAGGCACTGGGAAACTGGGAACAATTTTCTTTGATTGTTCTCGTTCCAACGCCACGCTCCGACGCAAGCAATTATGAACGTCACAATCTTTCAATTATAGCGTAAATTTATTTTGCTTCTTTCGAGTTTGACATAGCGCAATGAAGCAAGGCGATATTATGACATTTTTGGTAGCAATTTTTGGATTATTGATGATCCTGTTTTCGCAAGAAGGTTTTGCATTACGTTTCTGTCCTCCACGAACCATGGCTGTTTCCCTACGCGAGGCAGGAGACGCTGCTGAATGCGTTTGCCTGGAGGAATTCACTGGCCCACAATGCCAGTACAGAGGTAGGTCATTACTGCGTACTATATATCAACTTATAGAACCTTAAATGCAAGTTAATAATATGAACCTTTCGCATTTATATTAAGAACAGTTTAAAACCGATAGAGCTATATATCCAGTATAAACAAACTTAGTTTAGTTTAGGTTTCTTCATGTAGTATCACTGGATTAATAAGAGATGATCCTTTCCGGCCTTAAGTTGGGAAGAAATGTTTAAAGCTGATAGAGCTATCCTGCATGCATAGATAAGTTAAGTTAGTTTAGATTTCCTTTTGTAGTAACAATGGAGCAATAAGCGGTGATCCTTTTTTGTAACTTTTATATATAGAAATCGAATAGCTTTGCAAAGGTAAAACTGTTTTTAAACTAAATAGTCTTGAGAACGAGTGGATTAATTTGAGACTCGTCTTGTAGTAACACTCCTAAATTACACAACAGAATTAAACAGAGAAAGAAAAATATAAGAGTAGCTAATTATTTAAAAATAAAAGTTTTTATACGTAAAACTTTTGATCATGCACGTTCTTCAGCGCGTGCACATCAATTAATTCCCCATTCCAAGCGCGCGCCATTAATGGCTAATCAATATTACAGAATTTATCTTTAAAAATCTGACATCTCATATAAGGGAAAAATTGCTATTTTAGACCATAGTTTTCAAATTTTTTGAACTGAATAAAATGAACTGCTGGTCTAATATTCTGTTGTATCCTTTGCCAATCCCGTCGGAACATTGTTACTGAATTTCAAGTTCAGAATAAAATATTAAAGAATTTACCTTTCAAAATCTGACGTTTTATATAAGGGAAAAATTGCTATTTTAGATAAAGATTTTCAAATTTTTTGACCTTAATGAAATGAACTGCTGGTCTAATATTCTGTTGTATGCTTTGTCAATCCCTTCTCAACATTCTTGCTCAATTTGAAATCTAGCAAATCAATATTAAAGAATTTAACTTTCAATGTCTGACATCTCATATAAGGGAAAAATTGCTATTTTAGACAATGGTTTTCAAATTTTTTGAACTAAATGAAAAAAACTACTGGTCTAATATTCTGTTGTGTCCTTTGCAAATCCGTTCTGAACATTGTTACTGAATTTCAAGTTCTGCAAATCAATATTAAAGAATTTATCTTTCAAAATCTGATATCTCATATAAGGTAAAAATTGCTATTTTAGACCATGGTTTCAAATTTCATGACCTGAATGAAATTAACTGCTGGTTTAATATTCTGTTGTATCCTTTGCCAATCCCTTCTGAACATTGTTACTGAATTTCAAGTTCAGCAAATCAATATTAAAGAATTTAGCTTTCAAAATCTGATATCTCATATAAGGGAAAAATTGCAATTTTGAACAATTGTTTTGAAATTTTTTGACCTTATTGAAATAAACTGCTGGTCTAATATTCTGTTGTATCCTTTACGAATCCCTTCTGAACATTCGTACTGAATTTCAAATTCAGCAAATCAATATTAAAGTGCCTATGTCATGATTGGGGAAATAGACTTTTTAGATAGTTTAGACGATTTTAAGAACTTTTGCAATATATTTGATAGGTCGGAAATTTCATCTTCATTGACTTTGAGGGCCTCAAATTTGGTGATTTTGACAATTTTAACGTTTGACCGTGACCCTGAAAAAACTGGTAACTAATGTTATGTGTGACGTCAAATCGGGAAGTCGCAAAGAGAACAATGCGCTTTTCTATAGAAATAAGACAGTGCTGCATTGTAAAAGCGGGGTTAAGCGAATATTTTTTGAAGATTTACGCCTTTTGTGTTCGGCATCTTCAGTGTTAAGATGCCACACAGGTGTGTCGTCTTTGGTTGTTCCAACACAGCGAATTTACGCGAAGGAATTGCACTGCACAGAATTCCGTATGCGAATGATATGCGGCCCGAGGCAAAAAAGCGAAGAAAGACTTGGGTAGATTTTCTCCGACGGAAACGTGAAAGATGGGAGCCTTCTGTCCATTCAGAAGTTTGCTCTAAACATTTTAAAGAAGAGGATTTTGTGAATCGCTACATTGGCGTCAATGAAATGCCTGACGCAGATAAACCATTGCTCGTGGCTCCTCGCTTGAAGCAAGACAATATAGGCATATGTGTGTTTCCTTCAAAATACTGCGAGACAAGTAGCACGTTATCCGCGAGAGACCGCCGTCGAATAGTGAGTATCATCAATACTTTATACTAGTACTTTATTCTTTATGGTTTTGATTCCCGTATTTTGCATACTCTGCGCAAAGTCACTGCGGATGATGAATGTATCATTATGGGACATTTCATAGGCATTATGCTGTAATTTGTATTTAGACTTTGACCTTGTCTTTTAAATAAATAGTAAAATGATATTTTATCTATTTATAGACTCTTCGTGCTAAACAAAACAGATTATGAAAAGTGTGGCGCTACAAAATCTCATAGTCAAGCAGCATCATGTTCATCAACCGAGAGTTTTGAACAATGCCCAACAGCAGAGAGTGACCAACACGATTTATGAGTTGAGATGCTTGAACAACAATCAGCAGAAGAAACTGACATGGTATTAAAGACGGAGTAATTTCCGGAATTATGCAAACAAATTCTATCTATCAAAATTATGCATATAAAGTCTATATCTATATATTTTAGGGTGATATTGAAGGAAATGTAAAGACCGCGTGGGTCCAGACAATGCCATCAAGTTGTAGCAATTGCAATGAATTAACGAAAAAGTTGAGGCAAATGAAGAAAAGGATGCTTTTTTATAAGGCTCAGTCAAGTTTTGGTAATCATAATCTGTTAATGTTGTTCAAAACATGTTATGATAATAATATTCTGTAAATGTTGCTTATTGCAATCCCTTATTTATTTACTAGGTGGTGATAATTCATCATCAGATGATGCTACTAGTGATGAGGAAGAGGATGGTGATGATGATGATGATGTTAGCAGTGTTAGCAATGTTGACTCACATACATCAGAACCATCCATACCAACAGAGGTCGAAGAAGAACCAGCACTGGAAGAGCCATTGACTGCCACTGATACAGAATCGGAGATAGAGGATGATATTTCTGGGAAAAGGTACTAATTTTACTCAAATACACTATGTATAAATGACCGAAATGAAATATCTATAAGAAATAAAGTACGCATGTAGTTGTATGCAAACATAAGCAAAATACCTTGATATCTTATATTGATATCTTATTACTTCATTCTATTCATTTAAGAGTCTATATCAAAGATGACAATTTGAGGACACAAGCAAAGTTTGTTGTCTTTCTTCCACAACTCATGGAATTATTTGGCACTTGTCCAACCTGTAGCATGCCAGGTGTCCTCATTGATGTTAAAAAGTTTGGAACAATGGTACAAATCGAGAGAACATGCAGTCAAAAAAAGTGCACAAAACGCAACAATGTGTGGAGCAGTCAACCAAAATTTCCTAACTCCAGTATTCCAGCGGGGAATTTACTTCTGTCATTTGCCATTTTAACTGGCGGTGGATCTGCAAGCAAAACGCTAAGAATATTTGAACATATGGGGTTAGGAAGCATATCTCTGTCCACATTCTACCGCCATCAACGTGTATGTATACATGCAGTTTGTTTGACTAGTTACCTAACCAGTTAGCTATATTGGTGTTGACCAGTTCAAAACAATTCCTATTTAGGTTGTTTTTTTCTATCATGACACAAAAATAGCTGCCACTCATTTGTTATTTGTTTGCTCTCTTGGAAGTTAGGTGAGGAATTTCCATCACCTTGTACTTATTATGAAGATCTCTTTATTTTAAGACCAAGCTGTTTCCCACCATTCATATGCATTGGAAATCATACAAAGCATCATGGCAAGCAAAGTTGAAAGAAATAGATGGCATTGTTTTAGCTGGGGATGGTCGTCATGACAGTATGGGACATAGCGCAAAATACTGTGCATATAGTTTGTTCTGTTGTGATGATCCAATAAATGCAATAATTGATTTCAGTTTAGTGCAGGTACTGTGTAATTGCATAATATATTGTAGATTTATGAACTCTTAGCATATTATATATTTGCATATTTTTCACCATTTAGAGAAATGAAGCTGGCAGCAGTCCTGCCATGGAATATATGGCTTTCACAAGATCAATGGAGGATGTATCAAAAAATGATTTGAATGTTAACACTTTTGTGTCTGATCGCCATTCATCCATTGCCAAACACATGCGAGAAAAGCTGCCAGAAATCACTCACTACTTTGACCTGTGGCATTTGACAAAAGTATGTGCTATAAATATTACATAATTGCTATGTAGAATATACAAACATACTAAAGACATACTGTATATTCTTTAGAGGTTTCAAAAGTACTGAGCAAAATTGCTAAGGAGAACGATTGTGAGGTGCTTTTACCATGGGTGAAGCCATGTGTTAACCATCTCATCTGGAGTGCCACATCCACAGCTGATGGTAATGGCCAAGTCATTTGGGCAAAATTGGAATCATCTTTGGAACATGTTGCTAATGTTCACAAAGACCTTCCTAATCCTGTCTTCAATAAGTGTGCACATGATGATATAGAGGAAAGAACATGGCTTGATAAAGGTAAAACATATTTTACAAAATTTAAAATCTGAACCAAAACATTTTATGTAATGATTTACCTATCAAAAGAGAGCCCATGTCATGAGAAGTCTAATAGTATTTGATTCATTCTTATACAATTTTTGGTTGCAGAGATATGAGCAAAAGTGTCTTTGTATTCTTTATAAATTTCATTATGAGATATCACTCAATTCAAAAAACCTAAAATCTGAACCAAATTTGTTTAGGTGATGATTTACCTATCAAGAGAGAACCCATGTCATGACAAGTCTAATGGTATTTGATTGATTCTTATACAATGTTTGGGTGCAGAGATATAAGCAAAAGTGTCTTTGTATTGATTATGAATTTCATTATGACATATCACTCATTTTAAAAACCTAAAATCTGAACCAAAACATTTTAGGTACTGATTTACCTATCAAAAGAGAGCCCATGTCATGAGAAGTCTAATGGTATTTGATTCATTCTTATACAATTTTTGGTTGCAGAGATATGAGCAAAAGTGTCTTTGTATTCTTTATAAATTTCATTATGACATATCGCTCATTTTAAAAAACCTAAAATCTTAACCAAAACATTTTAGGTTATGATCTACCTATCAAAAGAGAGCCCATGTCATGAGAAGTCTAATAGTATTTGATTCATTCTTATACAAGTTTTGGTTGCACAGATAAGAGCAAAAGTGTCTTTGTATTCTTTATAAAATTTCCTTATGAGATATCACTCATTTTAAAAAACCTAAAATCTAAACCAAAATTTTTTCGATGATGATTTACCTATCACAAATAGAGACTATGTCATGAGAAGTCTAATGGTATTTGATTGATTCTTATACAATGTTTGGGTGCAGAGATATAAGCAAAAGTGTCTTTGTATTCTTTATAAATTTCATTATGAGATATCACTCATTTTAAAAAACCTAAAATCTGAACCAAAACATTTTAGGTTATAATTTACCTATCAAAAGAGAGCCCATGTCATGAGAAGTCTAATGGTATTTGATTCATTCTTATACAATTTTTGGTTGCAGAGATATGAGCAAAAGTGTCTTTGTATTCTTTATAAATTTCATTATGAGATATCACTCATTTTAAAAAACCTAAAATCTGAATCAAAATTTTTTAGGTGATGATTTAGCTATCAAAAGAGAGCCCATGTCATTAGAAGTCCAATGGTATTTGATTGATTCTTATACAATGTTTGGGTGCAGAGATATAAGCAAAAGTGTCTTTGTATTCTTTATAAATTTCATTATGAGATATCACTCATTTTAAAAAATTTAAAATCTGAACCAAAACATTTTAGGTAATGATTTACCTATCAAAAGAGAGCCCATGTCATCAGAAGTCTAATGGTATTTGATTGATTTTTATACAATGTTTGGTTGCAGAGATATGAGCAAAAGTTTCTCTTTGTATTCTTTATAAATGTCATTATGAGATATCAGTCATTTTAAAAAATTTAAAATCTGAACCAAAATATTTTAGGTAATGATTTACCTATCAAAAGAGGGTGCATGTCATGAGAAGTCTAATGGTATTTGATTCATTCTTATACAATTTTTTGTTGCAGAGATATGAGCAAAAGTGTCTTTGTATTCTTTATAAATTTCATTATCAGATATCACTCATTTCAAAAAACCTAAAATCTGAACCAAATTTTTTTAGGTGATGATTTACCTATCAAAAGTGCAACCCATGTCATGAGAAGTCTAATGGTATTTGATTCATTCTTATACAATGTTTGGTTGCAGAGATATGAGCAAATGTGTCTTTGTATTCTTTATAAATTTCATTATGAGATATCACTCATTTTAAAAAACCTAAAATGTGAACCAAAATTTTTTAAATGATGATTTACCTATCAAAAGAGAGCTCATGTCATGAGAAGTATAATGGTATTTGATTCATTCTTATACAATTTTTGGTTGCAGAGATATGAGCAAAAGTGTCTTTGTTTTGTTTATAAATTTCATTATGACATAACACTCATTTTAAAAAACCTAAAATCTGAACCAAAATTTTTTAGGTGATGATTTACCTATCAAAAGACAGCCCATGTCATGAGAAGTCCAGTGGTATTTGATTGATTCTTATACAATGTTTGGGTACAGAGATATAAGCAAAAGTGTCTTTGTATTCTTTATAAATTTCATTATGAGATATCACTCATTTTAAAAAACCTAAAATCTGAACCAAAAATTTTTAGGTGATGATTTAGCTATCAAAAGAGAGCCCATGTCATTAGAAGTCCAATGGTATTTGATTGATTCTTATACAATGTTTGGGTGCAGAGATATAAGCAAAAGTGTCTTTGTATTCTTTATAAATTTCATTATGAGATATCACGCATTTTAAAAAATTTAAAATCTGAACCAAAACATTTTAGGTAATGATTTACCTATCAAAAGAGAGCCCATGTCATGAGAAGTCTAATAATATTTGATTCATTCTTATACAATTTTTGGTTGCAAAGATATGAGCAAAAGTTTCTTTGTATTCTTTATAAATTTCATTATGACATATCGCTCATTTTAAAAAACTTAAAATCTGAACCAAAACATTTTAGGTTATGATTTACCTATCAAAAGAGAGCCCATGTCATGAGAAGTCTAATAGTATTTGATTCATTCTTATACAATTTTGGTTGCAGAGATATGAGCAAAAGTGTCTTTGTTTTGTTTATAAATTTCATTATGACATATCACTTATTTTAAAAAACCTACAATCGGAACCAAAATTTTTTAGGTGATGATTTACCTATCAAAAGAGAGCCCATGTCATGAGAAGTCCAGTGGTATTTGATTGATTCTTATGCAATGTTTGGGTGCAGAGATATGAGCAAAAGTGTCTTTGTATTCTTTATAAATTTCATTGTGACATATCACTCATTTTAAAAAACCTAAAATCTGAACCATTTTTCGGTCATGATTTACCTATCAAAGAGAGCCCATGTCATGAGAAGTCCAATGGTATTTGATTGATTCTTATACAATGTTTGGGTGCAGAAATATAAGCAAAAGTGTCTTTGTATTCTTTATAAATTTCATTATGAGATATCACTCATTTTAAAACCTAAAATCTGAACCAAACATTTTAGGTAATGATTTACCTATCAAATGAAAGCCCATGTCATGAGAAGTCCAATGGTAATTGATTGATTCTTTTACAATGTTTGGGTGCAGAGATATAAGCAAAAGTGTCTTTGTATTCTTTATAAATTTCATTATGACATATCACTCATTTTAAAAAACCTAAAATCTGAACGAAACATTTTAGGTAATGATTTACCTATCAAAAGAGAGCCCATGTCATGAGAAGTCCAATAGTATTTGATTCATTCTTATACAATTTTTGGTTGCAGAGATATGAGGAAAAGTGTCTTTGTATTCTTTATAAATTACATTATGAGATATCACTCAATTCAAAAAACCTAAAATCTGAACCAAATTTGTTTAGGTAATGATTTACCTATCAAAAGAGAGCCCATGTCATGAGAAGTCCAATGGTATTTGATTGATTCTTATACAATGTTTGGGTGCAGAGATATAAGCAAAAGTGTCTTTGTATTCTTTATAAATTTCATTATGACATATCACTCATTTTAAAAAACCTAAAATCTGAACGAAACATTTTAGGTAATGATTTACCTAAGAAAGAGAGCCCATGTCATGAGAAGTCTAATAGTATTTGATTCATTCTTATACAATTTTGGTTGCAGAGATATGAGCAAAAGTGTCTTGTATTCTTTATAAATTTCATTATGAGATATCACTCATTCAAAAAACCTAAAATCTGAACCAAATTTGTTTAGGTGATGATTTACCTATCAAAAGAGAACCCATGTCATGAGAAGTCTAATGGTATTTGATTCATTCTTATACAATGTTTGGTTCAGAGATATGAGCAAAAGTGTCTTTGTATTCTTTATAAATTTCATTATGAGATATCACTCAATTCAAATAACTTAAAATCTGAACCAAATTTGTTTAGGTGATGATTTCCTATCAAAAGAGAACCCATGTCATGAGAAGTCTAATCGTATTTGATTCATTCTTATACAATGTTTGGTTGCAGAGATATGAGCAAATGGTCTTTGTATTCTTTATAAATTTCAATATGACATATCACTCATTTTAAAAAACCTAAAATCTGAACAAAATTCTTTTAGGTAATGATTTACCAATCAAAAGAGAGCCCATGTCATGAGAAGTCTAATGGTATTTGATTGATTCTTATACAATGTTTGGGTGCAGAGATAAAAGCAAAAGTGTCTTTGTATTCTTTATAAATTTCATTATGAGATATCACTCATTTTAAAAAACTTATAGATGAAACGTTTGCATTTCGATTCGC